GTACTGGAATGATAGTGGAGCTTTTGAAGCATGACGGCTCATGAGTTAGTTTGTCCACTAGCAGGTGTAGCGCCAAGATTTAAACCCATGTGTGGGTGCATGTGGAATGATTTATCGTGAAAAACACCCAGACAACCAGGACATGGGTGGGCGTGTCAGCAACAGCTTGATTTCTTCAAGTGAAAGTACTGAAACAAGGGGCAGAGCTTCAGGGGGGGCTGGGGGCAGAGGGCCCCCGGCCCGGGCTTGGTAGGGCCCACCGCTGCAATGAGGCGGATGAGAGGGAATGTCTCTAACACAAACGATGGATGCTGGAGAAGACGAGCACTTCCAAAACGCCTCTGTCAGTGCGCTCCAGGTCAGCTGTGGCTACACTGTAGCTCATCACCATCAGTGCGTGAATGGATGAATGATGCACTGTAGTGTAAAGCGCTTTGGAGTCCTTTCTCTGAGAGGCGCTATACAAGTGCGGGTCATTTATCATTTATCATAACTCGTGTTCAGAGGACAATGGAGGATGGGCTCCATTCTTAATAATGACTCTCATACAGATTTATGGCACTTACACACGAGGGGTTGCAAGACTTAATTTTTTAAGTCGAAAATCGAGTCGACTTTGACTAGTCATTGATGACGTCACACACCTGAAGCGACTAAAACTGATGATGGGTGACCAAGCGTTTTTTCCCGACACACGGGGGTGATGGGTGGGCCTTTATTTATATAGCACTTTAAAAACACAGCCATACGGCCGACCAAAGTGCTGAACAGTCGCACAAATAACAGAGATAAAAAAATAAAACAGAGCAATAAAATACAGTCAACAAATAAGAAACAAGCCAATAAAAAAGTACCGATAAAAACCTTACAATGGATGATAAAATAAGAGTAGTAAAAACCAAAATAACAGCTAACTGTTAAAAGCAAGGGTAAAATAGTGTGTCTTCAGTCTAGACTTAAAAACTGCCAAGGAGGATGCCAGTCAAAGTTCGTTCCACATTTTAGGACTGGCAACAGAGAAAGCTCTTTGTCCGCATGATTTATAACACGCTTTTGGTACCTCGAGGAGCGACGGGCTGGAGGACCTGAGTGTGCGACAGTGAGTATAAATCGCAAGAAGGTCAGATAGGTACACGGGGGCAAGACCATGGAGGGATTTGAAAACAAAAAGCAATATTTTATATTGGACCCTGAAAGTGATGGGCAGCCAATGAAGGGATTTTAGAACTGGAGTTATGTGCTGGCGCCTGTCAGTACGTGTGAGGAATCTAGCCGCTGCGTTTTGGACGAGTTGAAGTCTGGCAAGGGTTGACTTATTGACACCCAGCAAAATTGCATTCGAATAGTCGAGCCTAGATGTGATGAAAGAATGAACAACTGATTCCAAATTTTTCCTAGATAAAACTGCTCTTAATTTGGACAGACGGCGGAGTTGGAAAAAACAGGATTTTACAGTGGCATTGACCTGGGCGTCCATCCTAAGAGATGAATCCATCTTTACACCCAGGTTTGTCACAACGGTTTTTAGATTGTGAGAAACAGATGAAAGATCTGGGGTTTGGAATGGGCTAGATCTGACCGGATTAAACAGGATCAGTTCAGTCTTGGAATCGTTGAGATGCAGGAAATTTGAGGCCAGCCAACATTTCACGTCTCGTAGACAGTCTAGAAGAGGCTGGATTGATTGCTGGGGTTTCACCGACATATAAATCTGGCAGTCACCAGCATACAAATTATATTGAACGGTGTTTTTTAGGATTAAGCTGAGTGGAAGGAGGTAAAGGCAAAACAACAAAGGGCCCAGAATAGACCCCTGCGGGACCCCACACGAGAGAGGAGCAGAGCGAGATGAGATGTTGTTTAGCACCACCCGTTGGGACCTGTTAGACAAATAGGACCTAAACCAAGTTAGGGCTGGACCACGTATTGCAGCAACTTCCTCTAAACGTAATAAAAGGATGTGGTGGTCGACGGTGTCAAAGGCGGCGGATAGATCGAGAAGTAATAAGACACCATAGGCGCCAGAATCAGTAGCCATAAAAATGTCATTAAAACACGGAGGAGAGTGGACTCAGTGCTGTGCAGGGGTCGAAAACCCGACTGAAAGATATCCATTATGTTATGATCAGCTAGATGAGTCGATAGCTGATCATAGACCACCTTCTCCAGAATTTTTGCCAGAAATGGAAGCTTGGAAATAGGGCGATAATTTGAAAGAACTGAGGCGTCAGAGCCGTTTTTTTTTTTTAGAAGCGGCTGAACCACAGCATGTTTGAAGACAGGGGGTACAACACCGGAACTAAGACTGGTATTGATAAAGTGTTGGATATAATGACCTATTGTTGGGAACACCTCTTTCAGGAGGCGCGGAGGAAGGATGTCGTCTTGTGAACCAGATGGTTTCATTGACAGAAGCAAAGATTGCAGACATGGTAGGGAAATCGGTTGAAAGCTGAGGAAGGGCGCTGTATTAAAGGTTAAGGTAGGCAGGGTGTACAGAAATAGTGATAAGCTAGCCCTGATAGAGGAAACCTTATCAGAAAAGAAATCAAGAAACTGATCCGGGAGATTTGGTGCAATAACTGAACAGTTGGATTCACGAGGAACGAGAACTGAATTAATAGTTTTATAAAGAACTTTTTGACTGGACCGGTTTGCAGAAATAATTTTAGAAAAATAATGGCTTCTGGCATGCATAACTGCTTGTTGATATTTGGACCAAAGGTCCTGCAAGATCTGATATGCAATCTGGAGGTGGTCTTTTTTCCATTTGCGCTCAGCCCGTCTACAAAGTTTTCTCAAACTTCGAGTATGAGAGTTGAGCCAAGGGTCAGATTTATGTTTGGAGTGAGCAGGTTTCAGAGGAGCAACCGAATTTAAGACTGTAAGGCATTTATCATTAAAAAAAAGCGATCTGATCATCCAGACTAAGCTGACTAGGCAGATCAGACACAGAAAAAGCACTGACAAAAGATCCTGCTGTTTCAGAGTTAATGATGCGCCGTAATGAACGTGATAGAGAAAGTGAATGATTGTTAACAGGTAAAAAAATATCAAAAGAAATAAGCATATGGTCAGACCAGCAGCCTTCTAAAAGAGATAGACCATTTAACAACAGACCAGATGAGAGCACAAGGTCGAGCGTATGTGAGTGTACATGAGTTGGAGCATTTACAGACTGGGTCAAACCAAAAGCATCAATTAGACTAATAAAATCTGTAACAAATGGTTTTTCCAGACAGCAGATGTGAACATTAAAGTCTCCAAGAATGAGAACACGTTGATATTGAGTGAAAATCTCAGCTAAGAGAGCAGAGAAATCAGGTATGAAGTTCTTATTGTATCTGGGGGGGGGGGGGGGGGGGGGGGGGATTAACACACAGAGGAGGCGGGGAGAAATTGCCAGTTCAAAAGCACTTCATTTTCTGTTCCTCACTTCTGATTACCTTCAATGGTGTCTGTTTGTTGCAACCACCAGGCGCAAAAACGAACTTGTTTTTATTTGACTATTTTTCTGTCCTGTCTCTGTTTATTATCCTCCTTAATCTCCTCTCAATCCTAAAGAAAAACTGCTACATGGCTTCATATATATTCACCTTATGAGTTACGTTTGAATTGCGGTTCTAAAAGATCTACCGACCGCAAAAACAGCGGAGTGAGTGCTGCGCGCCGGCCGAACTACTGAGGCGCGTCACCGGAGGACGAAACAGGTGATGCGCTCCGCTCCACACATAAAAGACAGAAGAAGGAAATGAGCCGACGTGAACGATCGCATGCTAAATTTGTTTTTGAGGTGGTGACACCTGATTTGATAATGTTACTGTGGCCGTGCTCAGGATGCAGATGTCTGGAGCGTGTCAACGATCAGAGCTTTGCATACGCAAGCTGGTTAAGGTTAGGATGGGGGTGAGGGGAAGGTTAAATTGTAAGAGGGTAAAGGTCACAATTCGGTCAAATGTCTGTTTTACCACGGGCGCCACATACTGGCGATCTGGCACAGCACGTCGCCTCCCAACGTGCAGGGGCTCATCACCTGCTGTCTTTTCCAAGGACTGCATCTTGTCGGTCATTATCATGTGACAGCGACTAGTCGATGAAAGGCATAAAAAGCCACTACAGAGCAGTGAAGTCGACTAGTTGATACAACCCCTACACCAGCATCAGCTCCACTCCCCCTGGACCATGTTGGGGGTTTTCTCACGCCTCGTATTTTCCTGCACATAACCGGACGTCCTTTCTGCCCTCTTCTCGAGGAGGTCTGCCTGGAGTCGAACAGGTCCGACACACCCACTGCTGACTGACTCAAAAGCACACCTACCATTAAGGGGAGCCTCCAATTGGCAGATGAAATCAGCCAGCGGGGCTTCCCGCATACACGATTTATTATCATTCTGGATAGCCATTCTCTGTGCCCCTCTGCTGTGAGGAGGCACAAACACATAGTCCCCTTTTGTTAACTAGGTAAATGAGGGATTATTTCAGTTCCATTTTCACAACGGACTTTTTCAGAGAAGCTGATCATCATTACCAGAGGCCGCCCAACCCCGCCGCTACTGTGTCTCAGCAAGAGGCGACACAGCCTTCCCTCCATGGCATTGAAAAGGGCTGGTAGAGAATTTCTACACAACACTGACACACTGAAGGAGAAGTATAACACATCAATGCATGTATGAGCACAAAGTTGCTGACGGAGTCGTCTAAAGTACGCTGAAGGCGAGTTTTTGTGGATAAACCATTCAAACAGGCTGCCTTAGTTAAACTCTGTATGTTATGAGAACTGTTCAGGCTCACTTCACTCTGGAATAAACTCTTAACCGGCAAATTCAAATGAATTATTTGTATCAAGTTATAACCCAACCCCAGTTTCTACAGGATTCATCAGACAGAAACTGGAGATGATTCACAAAACCAAGATCAGTCACAAAACCTAAAGTCTGAAGATATTAGCGTGCAGCTCCTGCTGGCTCAGTCAGAAACCACCCAAAGGAACAGCTCCTCACCTGCCTCACGTCAGACTGCTCCCAGTAAGCTATGCGGAAGTACAGCTTAGGAAGGAGTTCCCTCATGGAGCTGTTCGTGGTGGTCTGAGGATCAGAGATGGAAACATCCAGAGCACCTCCAGCTGCAGCAAGGCGGACGCTGGATGGAGGTCCGACAGCAGCTGAGAACAAAAGGAGATCCAGTATACCAATCTGTAGTTTATAAATAACATCGGTATCAGGCTGTAGTGTATCAGTAACATCTGTATCAGGCTGTAGTGTGTCAGTAACATCTGTATCAGGCTGTAGTGTATCAGTAACATCTGTATCAGGCTGTAGTGTGTCAGTAACATCTGTATCAGGCTAAGGCATATCAGTAACATCTGTATAAGGCATATCAGTAACATCTGTATCAGGCTGTAGTGTATCAGTAACATCTGTATCAGGCTGTAGTGTGTCAGTAACATCTGTATCAGGCTGTAGTGTGTCAGTAACATCTGTATCAGGCTGTAGTGTGTCAGTAACATCTGTATCAGGCTAAGGCATATCAGTAACATCTGTATAAGGCATATCAGTAACATCTGTATCAGGCTGTAGTGTATCAGTAACATCTGTATCAGGCTGTAGTGTATCAGTAACATCTGTACCAGGCTGTAGTGTGTCAGTAACATCTGTATCAGGCTAAGGCATATCAGTAACATCTGTATAAGGCATATCAGTAACATCTGTATCAGGCTGTAGTGTATCAGTAACATCTGTATCAGGCTGTAGTGTATCAGTAACATCTGTACCAGGCTGTAGTGTGTCAGTAACATCTGTATCAGGCTGTAGTGTATCAGTAACATCTGTATCAGGCCATCTGTATCAGGCTGTAGTGTGTCAGTAACATCTGTATCAGGCCATCTGTATCAGGCTGTAGTGTGTCAGTAACATCTGTATAAGGCATATCAGTAATATCTGTATCAGGCTGTAGTGCATCAGTAACATCTGTATCAGGCTGTTGTGTATCAGTAACATCTGTATCAGAATGTAGTGTGTCAGTAACATCTGTATCAGACTGTAGTGTGTCAGTAACATCTGTACCAGGCTGTAGTGTGTCAGTAACATCTGTATCAGGCTGTAGTGTATCAGTAACATCTGTATCAGGCCATCTGTATCAGGCTGTAGTGTGTCAGTAACATCTGTATCAGGCCATCTGTATCAGGCTGTAGTGTGTCAGTAACATCTGTATAAGGCATATCAGTAACATCAGTATCAGGCTGTAGTGTGTCAGTAACATCTGTATAAGGCATATCAGTAACATCTGTATCAGGCTGTAGTGTATCAGTAACATCTGTATCAGGCCATCTGTATCAGGCTGTAGTGTGTCAGTGACATCCGTATCAGGCCATCTGTATCAGGCTGTAGTGTGTCAGTAACATCTGTATAAGGCATATCAGTAACATCTGTATCAGGCTGTAGTGTGTCAGTAACATCTGTATAAGGCATATCAGGAACATCTGTATCAGGCTGTAGTGTGTCAGTAACATCTGTATAAGGCATATCAGTAACATCCGTATCAGGCTGTAGTGTATCAGTAACATCTGTATCAGGCCATCTGTATCAGGCTGTAGTGTGTCAGTAACATCTGTATAAAGCATATCAGTAACATCTGTATCAGGCTGTAGTGTATCAGTAATATCTGTATCAGGCTGTAGTGTATCAGTAACATCTGTACCAGGCTGTAGTGTATCAGTAACATCTGTATCAGGCTGTAGTGTATCAGTAACATCTGTATCAGGCCATCTGTATCAGGCTGTAGTGTGTCAGTAACATCTGTATCAGGCCATCTGTATCAGGCTGTAGTGTATCAGTAACATCTGTATCAGGCTGTAGTGTATCAGTAACATCTGTATCAGGCTGTAGTGTATCAGTAACATCTGTATCAGGCTGTAGTGTATCAGTAACATCTGTATCAGGCCATCTGTATCAGGCTGTAGTGTATCAGTAACATCTGTATCAGGCTGTAGTGTATCAGTAACATCTGTATCAGGCTGTAGTGTGTCAGTAACATCTGTATAAGGCATATCAGGAACATCTGTATCAGGCTGTAGTGTGTCAGTAACATCTGTATCAGGCCATCTGTATCAGGCTGTAGTGTGTCAGTAACATCTGTATCAGGCCATCTGTATCAGGCTGTAGTGTATCAGTAACATCTGTATAAGGCATATCAGGAACATCTGTATCAGGCTGTAGTGTGTCAGTAACATCTGTATCAGGCCATCTGTATCAGGCTGTAGTGTGTCAGTAACATCTGTATCAGGCCATCTGTATCAGGCTGTAGTGTATCAGTAACATCTGTATAAGGCATATCAGGAACATCTGTATCAGGCTGTAGTGTGTCAGTAACATCTGTATCAGGCCATCTGTATCAGGCTGTAGTGTGTCAGTAACATCTGTATCAGGCCATCTGTATCAGGCTGTAGTGTGTCAGTAACATCTGTATAAGGCATATCAGGAACATCTGTATCAGGCTGTAGTGTGTCAGTAACATCTGTATCAGGCCATCTGTATCAGGCTGTAGTGTGTCAGTAACATCTGTATCAGGCCATCTGTATCAGGCTGTAGTGTATCAGTAACATCTGTATCAGGCTGTAGTGTATCAGTAACATCTGTATCAGGCTGTAGTGTGTCAGTAACATCTGTATAAGGCATATCAGGAACATCTGTATCAGGCTGTAGTGTGTCAGTAACATCTGTACCAGGCTGTAGTGTGTCAGTAACATCTGTATAAGGCATATCAGTAACATCTGTATCAGGCTGTAGTGTATCAGTAACATCTGTATCAGGCCATCTGTATCAGGCTGTAGTGTGTCAGTAACATCTGTATAAGGCATATCAGTAACATCTGTATCAGGCTGTAGTGTATCTTTAATATCTGTATCAGGCTGTAGTGTATCAGTAACATCTGTACCAGGCTGTAGTGTATCAGTAACATCTGTATCAGGCTGTAGTGTATCAGTAACATCTGTATCAGGCCATCTGTATCAGGCTGTAGTGTGTCAGTAACATCTGTATCAGGCCATCTGTATCAGGCTGTAGTGTATCAGTAACATCTGTATCAGGCTGTAGTGTATCAGTAACATCTGTATCAGGCTGTAGTGTATCAGTAACATCTGTATCAGGCTGTAGTGTATCAGGCCATCTGTATCAGGCTGTAGTGTGTCAGTAACATCTGTATCAGGCCATCTGTATCAGGCTGTAGTGTATCAGTAACATCTGTATCAGGCTGTAGTGTATCAGTAACATCTGTATCAGGCTGTAGTGTGTCAGTAACATCTGTATAAGGCATATCAGTAACATCTGTATCAGGCTGTAGTGCATCAGTAACATCTGTATCAGGCTGTAGTGCGTCAGTAACATCTGTATCAGGCTGTAGTGTGTCAGTAACATCTGTATAAGGCATATCAGTAACATCTGTATCAGGCTGTAGTGTATCAGTAATATCTGTATCAGGCTGTAGTGTATCAGTAACATCTGTACCAGGCTGTAGTGTATCAGTAACATCTGTAACAGGCTGTAGTGTATCAGTAACATCTGTATCAGGCTGTAGTGTATCAGTAACATCTGTATCAGGCCATCTGTATCAGGCTGTAGTGTGTCAGTAACATCTGTAACAGGCCATCTGTATCAGGCTGTAGTGTATCAGTAACATCTGTATCAGGCTGTAGTGTATCAGTAACATCTGTATCAGGCTGTAGTGTATCAGGCCATCTGTATCAGGCTGTAGTGTGTCAGTAACATCTGTATAAGGCAAATCAGTAACATCTGTATCAGGCTGTAGTGCATCAGTAACATCTGTATCAGGCTGTAGTGTATCAGTAACATCTGTATCAGGCTGTAGTATGTCAGTAACATATGTATAAGGCATATCAGTAACATCTGTATCAGGCTGTAGTGTGTCAGTAACATCTGTACCAGGCTGTAGTGTGTCAGTAACATCTGTATCAGGCTGTAGTGTATCAGTAACATCTGTATCAGGCTGTAGTGTATCAGTAACATCTGTATCAGGCCATCTTTATCAGGCTGTAGTGTATCAGTAACATCTGTATAAGGCATATCAGTAACATCTGTATCAGGCTGTAGTGTGTCAGTAACATATGTATCAGGCCATCTGTATCAGGCTGTAGTGTGTCAGTAACATCTGTATAAGGCATATCAGTAACATCTGTATCAGGCTGTAGTGTATCAGTAACATCTGTACCAGGCTGTAGTGTGTCAGTAACATCTGTACCAGGCTGTAGTGTGTCAGTAACATCTGTATAAGGCATATCAGTAACATCTGTATCAGGCTGTAGTGTATCAGTAACATCTGTATCAGGCCATCTGTATGGGGCTGTAGTGTGTCAGTAACATCTGTATAAGGCATATCAGTAACATCTGTTTCAGGCTGTAGTGTGCCAGTAACATCTGTATCAGGCCATCTGTATCAGGCTGTAGTGTGTCAGTAATATCTGTATAAGGCATATCAGTAACATCTGTATCAGGCTGTAGTGTGTCAGTAACATCTGTATCAGGCCATCTGTATCAGGCTGAAGTGTATCAGTAACATCTGTATCAGGGTGTTGTGTCAGTAACATGTGTATCAGGCCATCTGTACCAGGCTGTAGTGTGTCAGTAACATCTGTATAAGGCATATCAGTAACATCTGTATCAGGCTGTAGTGTATCAGTAACATCTGTATCAGGCTGTAGTGTATCAGTAACATCTGTATCAGGCTGTAGTGTATCAGTAACATCTGTACCAGGCTGTAGAGTGTCAGTAACATCTGTATAAGGCATATCAGTAACATCTGTATCAGGCTGTAGTGTATCAGTAACATCTGTATCAGGCTGTAGTGTATCAGTAACATCTGTATCAGGCTGTAGTGTATCAGTAACATCTGTATCAGGCTGTAGTGTGTCAGTAACATCTGTATAAGGCATATCAGTAACATCTGTTTCAGGCTGTAGTGTATCAGTAACATCTGTACCAGGCTGTAGTGTGTCAGTAACATCTGTATCAGGCTGTAGTGTATCAGTAACATCTGTATCAGGCTGTAGTGTATCAGTAACATCTGTATCAGGCCATCTGTATCAGGCTGTAGTGTATCAGTAACATCTGTATCAGGCTGTAGTGTATCAGGCCATCTGTATCAGGCTGT